AGAAAATCAATTTCTGGTGAAGTGAAGAAGGGACACACCAACTTGAATGAATCCAGTCACGCCCCAAAAGTGCGTTATAAGTAGCAACAGTATCCACCACAAAAAACGCAGACATCAGTGTCCTATTTCCCACTGTTAATTCAACAGGCAGCACACCCCTTGAATGATTCACCCCTCCTGTAAAATCACTAATTGTAACCTCAGTATGCACTAAATCATCAAGAGACTTGCCTATTTTGTAGAGCATGCAAGTTGGAAAGACATTGACTGCAGCTCCATTATCCATCAAGACACGGCTGATTGGAGTCCCATCCATGTGAGCATTGATATAAAGTGGCCTAATGTGTTTGGCCATCTTTTCTTCTGGTTTTTCAAACACAATTTTGTCAGCCATGTCCTCCTCTTCATCATCCTGAGCTGGAACAACGATTACCTCTTCTTCTGTCTGTTCTGGGAACTCACAGACGATTGGTTCCTCCTCCTTCTTGGCTTGGAAAACCAAGGGTAATGTCAGCACCAAACATGACAAATTCACTGAGAATTCCCCAAAATGAATAGTGTCATCTTCTTTTGATTCAGATCCACGATTCCCAGACTGTTATTGTGCTTCAAAAGTTGCTTTCAAAACTCCATCTGGACTCACAATGACAGACGCCACCTTTGGAGAGGCTGAAGATTGATCATCCTCCTTCTATAGAGTCTGGGTTACAGTCTCATTTTTCTGTTTTCTCACCCACACCATGTTCCTTTTTGTAGGTTGGCGTGGTCTGCGAGATGAACTTCCCTCAGCCTCCACCTGCTTCTGTTGCCTTTTTCGTTCTTCAGCCCTCTTGCGTTGTAGTCTGCGCCTCAAGGTTCTGGGATTCTGGGCTGAAAACTTGGGATGATTGACTTTCTCCCACCATCTGGAAGGTGACCTGAGTGGCGGTTTGACCATCCTTGGAGATCTAGTACCAGTTGAATAATGTCTGGCACCTTCTGGACTGAAATTCCTGGTCACAGTGATCCTTTCTTGCCCCCCGAGCCTCTGTTGGTCTGACCTGACGCTCCTGCTATGTCTGGATCTCTATGCCTCAAGCACCCACCTCAAGTCTTCGGCAGCAAGGTTCCTTTGAGCATAAGGCAGACTGCGATTTCTGGCAGCACTCCTGAGGTCTGCAACATTCACGCCCACAGACATAGCTGGAAAAGGATCTGCATCCACTCCCATGGTTTCCTTCGCTTTGTCTGGAAATTTTAAGATACCCTTATCAATCTTTTCTTGCAAGATATTACGAAAAATAAGACAATTATTAGTAGAATGCTTCCATGAATTATGAAATTTGCAATAATCTCTAGCTCTGATTTCAACCGTTGTCGGGATTTTATGTCCCGGCGGCGGCAGCTTAATCAGACCACTCTTTTTAAGGTGGTCAAATATATCACTAGCTTTTGACAAATCAAAAGTATACTGTTTTCCAGCCTCACCAACATAACGTCTCACAGACGTCTCAGGCTGGTGAGTTGGTCTGACAAGGTTTGGACAAACAACAGGCTTGTCTGTAACCACCTCAGCCACATCAAGATCAAAATTAGGATCACTATAATAGGTTCCATGTGATGCAGCCTTCTTTTGAACATCTTCTTTCAGCAGATTTTCATATCGAGCCACTTTATAAGACAATTCATAGAAGTCTCGGAATTCCATCCCTTCAAATTTCTTTCGGAGCTCAATGTCCAGACCATTCTGAGCCAGCTTGACAAATTCTTGTTCTGGTAGTGCAACTCTACATTTCAGTCTGGCTCTCCGGAACCTAGCAAGGAATGCCTCAGACGACTCTCCAGGCTTTTGGGCTAACCTCGACAAGTCTGCCATAGACACTTCTGGTTCACAACGATAGAATTGAGTATGAAACAAGTCCTCCATTTGCCTCCAAGAGTAGACTGAATTTTGAGGCAGACTGAGGTACCAAGTAAGGGCTGTTCCAGTCAAAGAGCTAGGGAACAGTCTGAGTTTCAAGTTATCATCTCCAGACGCCTCTCCACATTGTATTGTGAAGCATCCAATATGTTCAATAGTGGACTAACCAACCTCACCAGAAAATAAAGTAAACTCAGGCACTTTAAAACCCCTTGGAAAAGGATTTTCATGATCAATGATGTCTGGATAAGGCTTCCTGTAGGCTGGACACACCAATGGTCTCAAGGCTGGTCCATAGGTTTCTTGTACCAAATCTATTAGCTGATCTCTATTGAATAATTGAGCTGGGTGATTCTGCAGACCGCGCTGTACCGGCTGGACTGGAGGAACTTGCGGCTAGAAAAAATCCCTTCGGTAGGGTTGATGATGAGGACCCACATTTCCCCTCCTACCTGGCGAAACATACCTATGCTGAGGTTGATGGCCATGGTCTGCAACAGGAGCAGCAGCCTCCATTGGTTCATGCTGTCTTTGTCCTTCACCCATGAAGAAATTCTGCTGTTGAATGTTAGGATGAAGCTGATTCCCTTGCCCCCCGAGTGCTGGGATTGGGGCTTCCTAAATCTGTCTGGGCATTTCAACGACTGGAGGAGGAATCTCAGGTCTGGGCTGTCGCACTTGCTCAACCATTTGTCCTGAAACAGCCTGCAATGTTCTGCGACTTTCTTCCCCAATTTCTCGCATCACCCTAGTGCCTTCCTCAAAGACCCGTCTCATCTCTTCTACACATTGTCTAACTAACTCTTCCTGACGTCTGGAAGATTCTGTTTGACTGTCAACAAGTCTCCGCATAGCCTGGTTCTGTTCTTTGAATGCTAAATCCAGACGTTCAGTCATACCTCTAAACACATTACTTGATTCAGCAAAGTCACCCCCACGGTTTGCTTCTTTCTCCTTAAATACTGGATTCCCATAAGACCATTCTGCCAAAGGTGACACTGGGAGAAAAGTGATGGGATCATTTTCACCCTCAGAGTGAAGTGGACTATCGTCTGCATGGTCAGCCTGGACTGGCTGAACCTCTTTGTCTCTGCTCTTTCTCGGTGGCATGGCTCCAGACGCTTCTGGATGTATAAACAGAGGGTCTGTAAACTTTAATTGATACACCTTGTTGGTTGTCCCACCAGGCGTGCCAACAAAGGATTGTTTCCTCAAAAATCCTCAGCCGGCCTTTACCACGTGAGTTGGATGTTAGGCGTGCCACTTGCTTTGTCTAAAAACAAGAAAATAGGATTTTCCAGACGA